GGTTGGGGGGGGGTTGGGGGGGTTGCCATTTTCATAGCCATTCGTGTAGAAACTGGCCAGGTAAAAGAAGCCGAGCCGTTGGGTAAAAGCTGCATCCTTATCAAGCTAGTCGAGGAACTAAAGGCATGTCGCTACCTCAAAATTATAAATTTCTATCTGCTCAGTACTTAGTTTTGAGGAAATTTAAAGTAAACAATTTTGAGTCTCACAACATGAAAAACTTTTTTAATGCAACATTTTGATTATTTTGATGACGACTCCGAATAATCCTACGGTTATGATAGAGCAGATAGGAAATTTGGTGTTTTACCTAATGTTCTTAGTAACTCAAAAGGGCCAAAGGTCAGATAGAACTTTGTAATTCTAAGGTAGCGATTATTCTCAAAGATTACATGGGAATCCCAACTCAAAAAATAACAACGCCGTATTGGTGTCTTTGGTGCTTCGATCACCGAAACACGGACCGTCCTAACCTTTTCAAGAGTGCGTTGTTTCACAGACTACCCCCTGTGTGCTGCTCTGGACTTAGAATTCAAATTCTTATTGTCAATTTGCCCAAACCTTTAAGAATTTGCAGCCCATTTAAAATGCATTTTCCGTGCAGGTTTTAGGGTTTGTTTGGGACCTCTATCCCGCATTCCCAAGAAAATAATGCACAGGTCGATTCGGAAGATTTTGTTCGGTGATAAATCCCGACGACAAAAGAACGCTGTACAGGGATGAACTACTTTGTCATCTTGCTGTTGTGCAACCACAATGCCATCTAAAATGATGTCATCCGGATCTAGATTCAATTTAATGTTGGTGTCAAGTGGGTATTAAGCAAGAGGATTATTAACAGGTCTTTGGACGAACTTTTTCTGTCCAGCTAGTAGGTTAATACATCAAGGAGAGTAACCGGTGGATGACTTGGGTTCCAAACTCTTTCTGAACCTTAGCCTTATTGTAGGGGCTTTTATCTTCTTCCCCCCACCCCACCCCCCTCCACCACTTTTGTTTCTTCTTTTTTTTCTTTTTTTTTTTGGGAAAAAGTTTTCTTTGCCACCCTGGTCGCGGTACTACGGGAAAGTTCTGAAATCCCTGGACTTCAACACGACCTAAACTGTGTTGAATCAGGCGTAAACCTCAAGCTCAGCCTAATCAAACTTGCTCTCTTGACATCCAGAACTTGACCGCTTTAAGTCAAGTCACAGCGACTGGACCAACAGACCTCCTTGTTTGAACATGTTTACTGTACTAGTCTTTTCTCCCCCGGGGGCGAGTCGCAGCTTGGGGAGGGGAGAATCAGCGCATGTCCTCACCACGCTACACGACCACCAGACTTACGGGGGTCTGGTGGGGAGGCGGTGGGGGAGGGAGGGGGAGAGAAGGGGGAAGAGAGGAGGCAGAGAAACGGAAAGGTAGAGAGAGAGGGGGAGAGATGGAGAGGGAGGGGGCAGAGAGACAGAGAGAGAGAGGGGGGCGGAGAATGAGTAAAAGGGAGATCGAAAGGGTATAACAGAGGGAGATGGGTATTTTCATCTTCTTTTTTTGGGGGGGGCGAGGGGTGCTTTATGTCGATCAAAAGGGGAAAACAAATATAAGGGGGACTGGAATGTGGGGGAGGGGGTTACAAAGTATACTTTTATGAAAGAGATAAGGAAAGTGGATATGTGAAAAATTCAAATGGACGAGGGGAAAGCTTTTGTCTTTGAGAAAAAGATGCAATGTTATAAACTGGAACGAGGGGAGGGGGGGTGCAAGGGTGTTGCAGGGAAAATGAAATGATCTGAAAAAGATTCTGGGGTGATGTCTGTAAAAAGGTTTGTTTGTTTTTGGGGGTTTTCTGTGTGTTTTTTTTGTTTGTTTGCTTGTTTGTTTATATATTTGTTGTTGTAACCGCTTTTGCTGCTGCTGCTGTTGTTGTTGTTGTTGTTGTTGTTGTTGTTGTTGTTGTTGTTGTTGTTGTTGTTGTTGTTGTTGTTGTTGTTGTTGTTGTTGTTGTTG